TGATTTAAAAATAGAAATACATACTGCTTCCTTGTCTCTCACGTCACACTGGTAACTCTTACATACTCCATGTATTTGCTTAGCACTTTGTACAGTGGCAACACAAGTTTCAACATTAATGTCTACGCAAGCAACCGTGACACCAAATTGACATAACTGTAGAGCAAGTTCCCTACCTACCCCACGTCCTACACCTACAATCTAAATTATAACATACGTTAGTATACTAACATATATTAGTAATTATAACATACAAATTTTGAATTTATCACAGTTTATTATATATGGCTAATTACATATTTGCAATATTACCATAGCAACTTCAAAATTCAGATTCTTCAAGGATGGCGGTCTAAACATTCTATAAACTGCGATTAGGATCGCGTAGCATATTCCACAGAGGAGCATCATGAGGTCCAACGTTAAAACGCATATCGAATATATTCTGAGCAACATCTCTGCTGGTTGAATATTTCCCTAAAAAAATATATAAAATCATCTTCAATACGCGTGATTTTTAACAAGATAAAAAAACGATTTCATAGAACAAACGCACTCTAGTTTTATCTCGATATTATAGATCGTCATATAACATCTTGTCAGAATCATTTTTTAAATCTAGTAAGTACAACGTGAGCTTTTCAAGAATTGCAACGATGTATATACCTTATATATGTATATATATAGATCAAGCGATGCCGTGAACTTTATTGATAACGCGTATCGTGCCAGGACACCATAACCATCTGATTCTTCGCAAGAGCGTTATCTCAGATTTCAACAAAGTCGAAAAAATTTTAAACGAGATATATCTCTGATTAATCAATTCAAGTCGATTCAATATAATCGATACATTTTCTTCAGATCTTTAAAATTATTTAAAACTTTCGTTCGGCTAATGCAACCCTCTACGAAATATTTAATAAAGCGGTTTGGATTTTCCTACAATTATCAAATTGAAATCGCATATATATTCAATGATACGCGTGCACGGACATCTGATTTCTGGATTATCATTAATTATTCATAATCAATATAAAAAATGCATCAATGCGGTTTTTTTATTAACAACGTAAGATCGTTGCATGCATAGACAAATAAAATATATAGATGGGCATTAGCTGCCGATATTAGCTGATGATATTGGCAAAAAGGGATGACGTACTACATACATCGGAATCATCGGAATGCGATCTTCTTCGGTTTTTTCGAGTGCTAGAGTCCCCAGAAATAAATAAATAAATAAATAGAGGGTGCGTTCCGTTTCACGCAT